ACGTGTTTTACCACTGAACTGTACCAGCAGCTCTGTGCATATTTACAATAATCATGAAAATGTATTTTAAAAGATTGATTTTTTTAATTTAACAATATTGTTTTTACAGTTCACCTAGAATTCACTTCTGATGCAGTGATTACAGTGACCCTATACTTTTTAAATATAACAAGGCAAAGTGAATCCTGCCATATTCAATCATATTTAGTTTTCATTGAGTATAGATGACAGTTTATGAAAATATAGTTCTAAAGTAAAGTTCGGGGTTTAGAGACTTTGCCATTTGGTGTAATGGAATCATCTCAGATTTACAATCTGAGAGTAAACAGTTAACTTTTCTTCCTCTTCCTCCTACTCCTCCTTTCATAACAACAATAGACCCATTTGGCACCAAGTTTTTCCTCCAAAGTCACCTCTGCACTGAAATCTCACACCTCAGATTTCAATCAGATATCCTGCAGATATGGAGAAGTTTCTTAAAAACAACAACAACAAACTTCTTGCATTTTACCACCTTGCTGGCTTCTGGCAGCCTGGGAGAATCTTTCCTTTAGACCTCAGGAGGAATGCCTGCCTCTCTTTCCCCTTATCCATCCGATACCCAGGGCGGCCACGGAGCTATCAAGTTGAATCACACTCAGAAGCTCAGGCAAGGACAGGAGAGGCAATGAAAGAAGGTGGTTAACGGATATTTTTAGTGTACTGGTTGTCAATAGTAGACCACAGTGTCGGTCATTTGATGAGACTATTAAAACCAGTTCTCTAAGACCAAGAAAAAAATGGAAAAAACATAGCCTTATGAAAATAAGCATACTTAATAATTATATGTACACTTACAGCTTCTAAATGTTTTACACTTAGATATCTGGACAGATATTTTGAAATTATTTTGAAATAAAGACATCTTTTTCATCTAATTTTCTCTCTGCTTTTTGCTCATCATTTTCTCCTAAACAAATCATTATGAAATGTGTTATGAACTATCTTGACAGATGGTCACATGAATACTGTTTGAACATGGAATTGAGTAAGAAGGCAGAGGCAGACATAGCCATGTACCTGAGAGTCAAACTTTCCAGCTCACAAGCAGCTAGGGTAGATAATGCCAGTGTGGGGTCCCCTGCCTGACTGAGTTTCCCTGGCTTATTCTATAACTCAACATAAGTTCCATCTACACTTAGATAATATAATCTCGACCGCTTAGTAATAAACACAATAACCTTGTGAAATCATTGTTTTAGAAAAAGTCAGGCTCAGCCATTAAGAGCATGTACTGCTCTAGTGAATGACCAGAGTTGGGTTCCCAGCACCCACATCAGGCAGCTAACAACCACTTGTAATTCCAGCTCCCCACCTCCCTCTTCTGGCCAACTTGGGAAAATGCATTAACCTGCACAGACCCATGCATGTACCTGTAACTAAAAATAAAATCTTTTTTTTTTTTTTTTATAATTAGAAAATAAGCTAAGGGGCTGAAGATCCAGTTTAGAGATGAGATGCTTGCCTACTATGTGCAAGGTCCTGGGTTCGATTTCCAGCATCATAAACAGTAAAAAAAAAAAAAAATCAGATTAAATTGCTTGTTCAAGGTCACATAATAACCTAGACATTCCAAGTTTTAAACAATCAGTTTCAAGTTATGAACAATGACAACTGACAATGTCTGCCACTGTCCTTCTTGTATAGGACTCAGTCTTGAGCTAGAGAGCGTACAGCTGACCTCCACCTGGGGCTCCTCTACTCCTCCAGAATGGGCACAATGTTGACTGGTGTGGAGATGGACTCTGCTGAGGTGGAACCTCCTGCAGACAGACCCCACTATCAGCACCCCTGAAGGGGGAAGGAGACAACTGCTCCACTTCTGCCTGGATCTTAAAATTAATGGAAGCCTATGCAGCTTTAAGTCTGGGAACAGACAACATTTTTGATATGGTAACAAACTAGAAGTCAATCCAAGAAAGTTGAATTTTGACATCTTTCCAGCAAGGGTCACTTGTTCCAATGCAGTGGGCTCAACATTTGGAATTAAAAACCTCAACTTTAGCAAATTACAGGTTTGAAATACTGGGAACTCTAATTAGACATGCATTCCCAAATGCCAGGAGAGCCCACTCTATTCATTTACTCTTGGCTTTATGAAAAACTATTTGCTTGGAATGCAGTCTCTGTAAAGCAATTTACCTTCAGATTTAAAGAATGGAATATGTGAGCAAATAATTTTCCAAGTTTTACTGAATGAGTGATAAAATGAAATCTTATGTTTGTAAGAACACAGCTCCTGTGTAATTAAAAAATAATTTATTTAAATACTAAACACAATGAAACATTTAAGCCTAATTTCCCAAATGGACCTCTGTTCTTGGCTACTAACATCACAGTGGGCATCCCAAGGATCACTTACTGTGTATCACATAGGTAGATGCTGCTATAAGGTTATATGAGCGTTCTAACAGGAGGATTTGTGCAGACATAAAACAGAGTAACGCCTCTGAAGGCAGACCAAAATAAAGCATGATGGAACCCTCTCGCAACCAGCCAAACAAACATTTCCAGGGACTGGAAACCAAGACAGATTTCCACCACAGAAACAAGAAGCCATTTGACTGTACTAGGTCTCCACACTTGACAACAGGAACCAAAGTGCTGGGGACATGCAGACCCCCAAGCCCCACCCACCTGGAAGGCAAGAATGCACTGACCTTTAGCAGCTCGGCAGACCGAAGAAACTCCAGCCTGCAGCCCATTTCAAAATTACCAAATCTCCAAAAATTACAGGAGATGGGTAGCTTACAATCACAATTGCTTTGATCACATAGGTCAAGACTGCATTAACATAAGCGGTAATTATCGAGGAAGGGGTCATCTACTTCATTCATTTAATAGCCCATTCTCTCTCAGTCAGATTTGCCACAGATCCAGCCCAACTCAATTAGGAGGCACAAGAATATTGGATTGAACTATTTTTCAGTGTAAGAAGGCTTGAACAATTTAAGCAATTAGGTGCTCTATTCCTCCTCTGCTAATTTACAAGGTATTCAGTGTAACTAGTTTTATTCAAACCTTTACATTCTATCCTCTTCTTTCTAGAAAAGAATTTAAATTGTATCTCAAAAGGCTTCAGGGGAAAGATTGGTGTCTAGTTTCTAGCAGTCATAGGCCACATCTCCTGCTGCCCAGACTGCAGCCCCACCGACAAGGCAAGAGGCTGACTCTCACTACTGGTAAAAGTCCAGAATACTTAAGACATACAAGGGCTGCACCATGTTGGTGGCTGTGTTAAAGCACATTCTAGATGTCACCATGATGTTCCCAAACACCATAGATACAAGGTCACCATAACCCCATCTGTTATGAGACCATTTCTTCTCTTTCGGATGCAACAACAAGGAACAAGGCCAGGTGAAAGAAAACTGAACTTGGATTCAGAATCCA